AACTTATCTGATAATACTAATCCTGTACTAATTGATTCCAATCAAATTATTTTTCAAAATGAAAACAGTTCACATTCATTTATTAATAAAGCAAGTAGCGTAAGTATAATTTTTTATAAAGAATTTTTAATCTGAATAATTAATTGATTAAATCATTAAATAATTTTTTATGAATTTTATATCCAGGTTATTTTTGAGCCAAATGAGATAACTGCACGATCATCAGGATTAAGTAGAAATTCAGAAAAATGTTTATCATCATTATCATCAAGCAAAAATTTAAATACAATAACATTTGATACAACAACTGCTGAATTTATGGCTCAATTTAATAATGAAGATTTTCGTCCTGCTTCTGAAATGGCTAGTCAATTCATAGCTGATGAAGCCTCTTGGCAACAAAATTATTCCTATGCTCTTCCTACAACTTCTACTGGAAAAGAACATCTAGATTTATCTTGTTTTTCTGGTGTAATTGGTGAACTAGATATATCAGTGGAGTAAGTGTAAAATTATAAATATTTTACATTATAATATAATCAATTATAATATATAATCAAATTTTAGATCTTGTGCTGGACGTAAGGTATCTATAGGTGAATTTTTTAGAAGAAAATGTGGAAATTTTGGAGAATTATCAGATAATGCAGTAGAAAGGCCGAGTTTAGGTTTATCTGTAAATAGTCCAAAAAAAAAAGATCAAGTTATACCACTAGTTGATTCAACTATTGTAACAGAAGGTATTATTTACATTATTTATTTAAACAAATGTCTTACATATATAAAAATTTTTTTTTATAGATTTTTCAATTGGATCTATTGCTAATAAAGATAAAACTCAAAATATGCAAAATACAATGAAAGATATAGAAGAACATAGTATTATGAGTTTGACCAGTATTGCTCAAGCATTACAGGATATTGATAATGGTACACCTAGAAGATTAGTAGATCAACTTATTATGGCAAAAAAAAAAAGAAAATCCTTGCGCATGCAAGAAGAGAATCCAGTTAGAGATACTTATACATTAATGCCTTCAAATAGAAAATCTATGCCTATTACTCCAAGTAGGGATATAGATAATTTTAAAAAAGATATAGGATTATTAAATCTTACAACTAAATTATCTCTAGATAGTAAAATCATTAATGAAACTATAGATATTAAACATTCTATTCCAAGGATGCTTTCATTTGATTCTAACTCAGGTGTAAAAGCAAATGTTGAAGTTCCTTATCAAGAACTTAAGAAAGAAATAAATAATGAAAAATTACCATCTTCACATAATGAAGGTATATATATTTTATTTTCCAAAAATTTCATTTAACTAATCAATAGGTTTAAAATTTTTTTCTATGATTCATTTAAAAAAAATTATGAATTTTAGATTTTAAAGTATTATTGGAAGATTCTAAATTAACTCTTCCAAATTATATAAAAAAAGAAGTATCACCTTGTATTTCAAAGATTAACACAATAATTAATCATGAGAAACAGTTTGTTAATCTTGAGGAAAAAGAAATAGAAAAAAAAGATGATATAAAAAAGGAAAATATTTCATATAAAGATAAATTAGAAACTTCTATACAAGATTGTTCAAAAGAAACTCAATCTTATGTTAATAGTATGATATCATAACAACAAGAGAAATTATATGATCCTTTACTTCTTTTATTAATTGTTATTTTTTTATTTTTTATAGATGTTGTTATTGGCAAAAATACAGAAGAGTTATGTAATTGTATCATTGGTCTATCTAGAGAGACTAACATCGAACTTTTAAATAAAAGTGATAAATGGATGCTTTGTTCATTAAATATAAATCAAATTCAAGGAGATAAAGAAATTATTCAACTTTCATCACCAAACAATGTTGTTCTTGTTAAACCAAATTCAGAAAAATTTTTTAAGGTAAAAAAAAAAATATATTTTAATATAAAAATTTACAATAATATTAAAAAAAATATATAAATATATAAATATTAAAAAAAATTATATATATTTATTTATTTATTTAGATTATTGCAACGGTAGTGAAAATGAGTAAACCAATTATAACTGTTGTAAACATAACAATATTAGATGTGGTAGCAAAATATGAATGGACTATGAAACATATTATTTGTTTCAAACCTGAAGAAATCGATATAAGTGTATCAAATCCTTTACAAAAAAAGGAATTAGATTTTCAGTATGTTGTTGAGAATAGTATGACAATTCTGCCTATTACAATAAAAAATAAAAACAGTGTTGATGTTCGTATTAAATTTTTTATATCACAGGTAATGATTTTATTTAATTTTAATAAATTTAATATTTTTTAATTTTTTTTTTTTATTTTAATTGAATGCAGCATGAACCAACAATATTCAGCTTAGAAAATTCAACAGAACCACAACACATTATTCTTAAAACTCAAGATGCATATATTATAAATATTCAATGCAAGGCTATTCTACAGAAAAATAGTGAAATGCAACAACAATCTTTACAACGTTTTAATAGTACTTTAATAATTCAAGCTGAAAATAGTTCTTCAGAGGAAAATATACTGATCCAAGAAGTTCCTCTTATTGTACAAGTAGGAACTTTTAAAATAGAAGTAATTGAAACAGATTTACCTTTGATTATTCCTAATAAACAAAGCAAATCTTTATCTGTGATTAATCTTGGAACGATACCAGTAATTGTATCAGCCGCATTTTCCGAAGACACTGAGTCAAAAAAAAATTCTAAATATTTTTCAATTGAACCAGAAAATATACATATGCAACCTAAAGAAATTGGACGTTTTTTTATTACTTATAAACAACAAATTTTAGACATTCCTAAAATGTAAGAAGACATTTTATATGTAGATTTATACTATTATGAATTTGTTTTTATTGATTTTTATTTATATTTAAAGATGTACAAAAATTAAATTAACTGCTGCTGATAATGTTCACCATTATGTTATAATTGGTGAATCAAGTGTATGTACTGAGGGAGAAAATGAAAATTTTCCTCGTTGTGAAACCCCTCAGTATTTACCATCTGTAAGTTCTCCTTCTTCTCCACATAGTATGGTTTCAAGCAAGTAAGTTTATTATTATATTTTATATTAAAGTTTTATGAAATTCTGTTAATATTTTATACAATATAGGTCAAGCGTATCTGGTAGAAATTCTTCTCTTAGTTCAGTATCAGGTTCAACTGTTGCTGGAGATAAAATTCCTATAAAAACAACCCATGCTGCTCTGTCATGGAATAGTTTAAAAATAGGAAAATCGGAAATTAAAGAATTTACAATTCGCAATACAAGTACCAACAAGATCAAGATACAAGCTACCATATCAGATAGTGAAAAAAATTTTCGAGTAATATATTTAATTTATTATAATAAATTAATATTTTACATTTATGTTTTTACACAATAATAAGTATAATATTTTAGTTTCTTCGAGAACGAGAAGCCGTTGGTACAACTATTGTATTAGTGTTGCAAGGTTCAGAAAGTAGGACATTGTCTGTTGTATTTAGTCCTCATCATATAGGTGCAGCAAATGGAAAAATTATATTTAAGCATTATCAATCAAAAAAAGAAGATTCTGAATCTTTACCTTCGAGACAGGTAAATAAATTTACTGTTAAAATAAATTTTATTCTTATAAGTCAAATAATAAATTTAAAATATATTATTTATAGATATTTCTATATGGTTATGGGGGTTATAGCAAAGTCGAAATTTCAGAAGTATTCAAAGACACAAATGGAAAAATGTGGTTGTCACTTGGCATGTTAAATTCAGAAAGTTCTTTAAATGCAAAGATAAAATTACAAAATACTGGAGATTTATGTTCTTATGTTAAAATAAAATTAACACCAAAAGGTATAAATATTTAAATACTTAAATAATTAAATATAAATATATTTATCATTTTGTAAATAATTCTTGGATGATTTTAGCTGTGTATCCTACTATGATATCAAGTTGGCAAGTAAATCCAACTGAATTATTGTTAAATCCAAAAGAAGTTCAATGGGTAACTTTGGAATTTCATCCACGAAAAGAAGATTTAGTGTTATTGCAAAAATCTGATGTATCACATGTTGGAACATTATTAATTACTCACGGAGATGAACCTACGCGTTTGCGAATTCGTAGGTAAGATATTAAATTTATAAACACTTAATTTATTTTGAATTTTAATTATATTTCCAGATTATATAAAAAGATGAAAGAAACAGGCGAGTTGAATGGAAATGAAAATGAAACTTTTAGAAATATAGTTCATCCAATATGTAAAGTTTTTTCTGGAGAACAATTAGTGTCAGATGTAATACCTATTCGAGATTCAGTGGTAAGTAATAATAAATTTACTCATTTAAATTTTTTTAAATTATCTATGAATGTTATTTAGCAAAATTTTGGAGATCTTTGTCGTGAGATTCGGCAACACGAAATAATGTTAACAATGGAAGTATGTGCTGACGAAACTCTGTCTGTTCTTCATGACAATCCTGATGAATCACAAATGTTTTATTCTCTTTATAGTGAAAATAGTCATGTATATGATGGAAATACAGAAAGTTTTTTACCCTCAGAGTAAGTATAATTATCATTCTAGTGCAAATAATTTTCATAAATAATTATATTTAAATAATAAAATTTTTAGGACTCTCGTAGAAAATACTTTAATTCAAAATGATACGAATATTAATAATTTTATGATCAGCCCATCTATTGTAGTTTTAACTCCACCAACTAGAACAGAAGCAATTGTAACATTAAAAAATTCTTGTACTGTAGCACAACCATTTGAAACTCATTTATCAAATACAGAATATTTAAGTATTGTCCCTACTGAAGGAATGATACCCACTAGAAGAGATTTTCAATTAAAAATTCAATGTAAACGAAAAATTGAACGAAATTTTAATGCAGTTCTTCAAATTTATACAGAAAACAATAAACTTGAAGTACAAATAAGAGTGAATGTTAAACAGTTATAAATTGATGTTTTAAAATTAATTTTTTATTGAAATATTTATTATACAAACATGCTATTCAGTTTTGAATTTTTATACAAGCAATATTTTTATTATCAATAAATTAATTTTCAATCAATTTCTTTATTTATATATTGTTTTATGACATCAAAATGTGCATTATTTATCTTAAATTGTACATCATATCGTGAATGAAGATTTTGTATTATCTGAACCATATTTTGTACATCATTTATGCCAGAATGTAATTTTCCTTTTATAGGAAGTTTAAAATATGAAAGCATATCTAACAAACTTTGTGGATAATAGTCTGTTGCATCACAAAAAGTACCTTTCAAGTTTATCCATTTCATAAATTGTTCTGGATATGGTATGTTTTCTAATTTACATTGAGCTGGTAACATAAATTTTAAATCCCAATCGCCACATGTAACAAATGCACTATCGTTTCCATTTTTGAAATAATTGTGTTCCTCTAACCAATTACAAAATTTCGTAAAGACTTCTGAAAAATGGGGCTGTTTATCTACCATATCTTGTATAATTCCAGTAAGTTGAGTACAAAATGGAGTAAGTTGAGTATGAACTTTTGGTTTAATATATTCATGAAACATATTCACTATTTTCCAAGTTTTTGTACACACTGCTGCACAGGGCAATTCGATAATTTCTTGCGGTTCGATTTTTTCATATTTTTTGCAAGTGCATTCGAAATCTAATACAAGTAAATAATCGAAATGTTGTTTAACTTCTTTGGTTCCTTTATAAATAGATCGTGGATATTTTGAGAGAATTCGATAAGCCATAATCTTTATTAATAATTATATGTATAATTATTTATAATTATTAAAAGGAAAAGATCACAGAAAACTGATTTATAATATTGCTTTTAAAATTATATTTGAGTAAGGTTAACTAAGATATTATTGAATTAAATTGAAAGATAGTGATTAATTTTCAATATTTTCTTAAATTATAACTTTAACAAAATACTTGAAACATATTATTTTAATTTACAAACATTAATTAAATTATAATAAAACACTGTGTTTATGTTTATATTAAATCAGCACCTTAAAATAAATATTAAGAAAGATCACATGGTTACCGCGGCAAATTCAACTTTCGTAGAATTATAACTACGTGTTAATATAAAATAATTATTATTATTATTAACATAATACTAAACAAATGTAATGATTCGAGAATATATATATTAATAATCAATAATTTGACCAAGTTTTTTTAATCGATTAAGTAATGCATCTCCTCTTTTTATTATATTTTGATAAACCAGCTCTTGATCGCATGAAGCGTCAGGTGCTTTTCCTCTATTGCAACTAGCGGCACTAACAGTAACGATCATTTTAGCCACTTTATCGATTTTACAATGTAATTTACCATTCGCAATGAAACGTGCTATTTCCTGTTCTATAAACTCTTCTGTCACACCAAATTCTGTTGCCATTCTACTTAAATTAATTGTCCTATATGCTTGTAAAAGCTGAGAGTATGCTTTCAAACGCATCTCTCTTACGTAATAACGATAATGGAAATGGAACAAAGGATTTATCTTAAGTTCATACTCTATCCAGGCGAGATTTTCGAAGAACTCTTTGTAATGACAATCATAAAAGGAATAAAAAAATTCTCTATATTTAGGTGCTTCTGTAAGTAATGTTTGTTGTAAAAGTCCGTTGTCGTTAAATTGTGTATCAAGTTCTGATCGGGATAAAGAAATTATTCCAGATAATAATGTGTATTCTACTACTTCTTTAAATGGTAATAATTCATAAGATTCAAAAGTAGGTATACAATCCAATAAAAGTGTTGCAGCACGGGAAAAGCTTCGTGTTGCAAGATAATGAACAGCTTCGTATACTTTCAATTTATTACGACAACACCAATTACTACCCGATGCATGACATCCTTCCATCAGATCCGTTATCTCGGCAATTATCTTTCCCATCGAACGAATATTATTTCTTATATACGTTATTCTAAATAAGCCAAAAGCAGCTTCAATTCTAATGCTGGATGAATTATTTTCATCTTTCAAAATTGAGGTGGCGATATTTGTAGCACGATCGAGATCACCAATCTCGCAAAAAAATTCAAATTTTTTTCTCCAATTCTTTTTTTCAGTGTCCTCAAGAGTAGAATTATCAGAAGATTCTAATTCATTCCATGTAACCTCATTTTTATGTTTCATTGCGTTGATAAGATCTTCATCAATTTTCCAATTGAATTCTTTGCAAACATCTTCATAATAACGAGTCATATTTCCGCGTTTTATTATATCGAGGAATTCAGTTTTTAAGTTATCATCATTTTGATATTCCTGTAGAGTTAATTTAAATCGAATCTTGATAAGAAGTATGTAATTAGGAGTTTTATGACACAATTCTGGATCATTCATGACTGATATTTTTTAATAATGAATATCATATATAATTTGTATATATGTAAGTCTTTTGTTTAATTTAGATCCACTTTTTAACATTTAAACAATTTGAATTATTATCATTATCTTTCGTAATAGATTTATGAATCATGAACCAATCAATAAGTATTATTTAAAACAAAAATGGCGCGTTTTTGGGTACCCGGCAACGATATTAATTGTATGACACCAAAGAATAGATTCTAACCTTGTGGAATACTTTTTACGAAGTTTATAACATAATTTCGAATTATATGATGACTTCAAAACCTACTCAATCCACTAATTTACCATGGTAAATGTACATTCGTTTTACTTTAAAATAATTTTATTTTAAAAGTAATCAAATAAGACTGAAATTTCAATCTCTTATTTTAGGGTAGAAAAATATCGACCAAAAAAATTGGATGATTTGATATCTCACGAAGAAATTATTAAAACTAGTTAGTATTTATACTAATTTTATGATTTCATAAAGTATAATTCTTAAATTATTTTATTACAGTAAATAAATTCATTGATGAAAATTTACTTCCACATCTTCTTTTTTATGGACCTCCTGGCACAGGAAAAACAAGTACAATACTTGCTTGTGCACGTAAATTATATACACCAGCTCAATTTAATTCAATGGTTTGATCTTTTATTTTATATTATTTTTATCTTATATAATCTGATATTTCATGTTAAAAATTTATATATATATATATATTATATAATTATATATATTATATCTATTATATTTATCATATATTTGACATTTATTATATTTTATAGAATAAATGTTATTTTTCATATAGGTTTTAGAAATGAATGCTTCAGATGACAGAGGTATCAACATAGTTAGAGGACAAATACTTAGTTTTGCAAGTACAGGTACAATGTATAGGTCTGGTTTTAAATTAATCATTCTTGATGAAGCTGATGCTATGACAAATGATGCACAGAATGCTCTTAGAAGAAGTAAGTTCTAACATTAATAGTTTCCTTTAATTATGAAGAATATATTCTATTCAAAACTTGTTTCAGTAATAGAGAAGTACACAGACAATGTAAGATTTTGTATTATATGTAATTACCTCAGTAAAATTATTCCTGCCCTTCAATCTCGGTGCACTAAATTTAGGTTTGGCCCTCTTTCTATAGATCAAATTTTACCAAGGCTAGACACTATTATTAAAGAAGAGAAGTAAGTGTATTAATTGTATTGAAATATTATATGTATTAATGATTTTTTTTATATATGTTTAGTTTAAATGTTACGGAAGATGGAAAACAAGCATTAATAACATTAAGTGGAGGAGATATGAGAAAAGTTTTGAATGTCCTCCAAAGTACATGGCTTGCTTTTGGGGCAGTTACAGAAGAAAATGTTTATTCTTGCGTTGGACATCCTCTTCCAATTGATATAAAAAACATTGTCAATTGGTTATTCAATGAATCATATGAATTGTGTTATTGTAGTATCCTTTTTTTCTTATTAGTTCAAATTATTGTTTGTCTCCAAATTATAATTTTTCTTAATACATCTTCAGAAATCCAAGACATAAAGTTAAAAAAAGGACTGGCATTACAAGATATATTAACAGAACTTCATTTGTTTATAATAAAAGTATGTTTCTTGCTTTTAAATTTCAAGAAAAAAAAATATAACACATTATTTTAATTATTTCTTTTTAGTTGAATTTCCAGATTCAATACTTATTGATTTAATAATAAAACTAGCTGAAATAGAAAAGAGGGTATCTATTGGTTGTAGTGAAGCAGTACAATTAAACGCCCTTGTTTCAGCGTTTCAAAATGCTCGCGATATCGAGACTTAATATTTATCAAATTTGAAGATTCAATTAAGGTAACATTAAATTTATAATATTCTACAAAGAATTTTAAAATAAAACTTGATTTAATAAAAATGTATTATTTATTGTTTTTTTGATGTAATAAAAAAAATTTCAATATTTTTAGATGAAAACTCCACATCAAATAAATAATCTCTCCATATTCCGCTATTCACTTTATTCCTTAATTTCCTAGTAGATTATATTTTTTCATGAATAACAATCAAAATAATAAATCTCCAAAAATAAATTGTTCAGAACTCAATAAAAAATTTAAATTCATTTATGTAATGTTCTATTTAGATGCATCTAGATAATAAAAAAGTTGAGATAATAAGTTTCTTATAAGTAATATTCAATAAATGTATTTGAATTATTATGTAATTGCATTTGATCATACAAGTGAAACTTTATTTTATTTATATAACAAAATTGTCTAATCAACATATGATTGTTTATGAAAACATCTACAAATATCATAAACATATAATACTACTATTTTCTCTATTAATAGTAACCAAGATGTTCTAATTTCAATAATTGATTTGTTGTTTTACAGAATATATATTTTATATATATAATATATATTCTATTCAAAATATCTTTTGACAGTAATAAATTTTTTTAAAAATAATCGATATATTATAATATTTCGATTTTTCTATAACGGTAATTCATTGTTATTTTAATTTTAATATTACTGAAAAAAAAAACATTGCTGAATTAATATTGCATATTTAATTTATTTTTTATCAAATCATGTTATTTTTTTCAGCTTCTATTCTCTAAAAGAATTTTCATTGATTATAATTACGATTTTTGTCTAATAGTTAATATTAATAACAATGCATATTTAGTAATTGAAAAAATATTTATCATTCGATTATTACTAATGAATATATATCAAACAACTAATAAGATTTCTCATTTAATTTACATTATTGGTATATATTAACGTATTATATATTATTGTTACAGTCGCGGTTGAGAGACTATTCACACAGTCTTGAAAGTGAGACGAAACTGTTGAAATCATTCTATTCCTATACTACCTCGTTTATACTATCTCTAACTAAAATAATCAGATATATCCAGTATACTATTCTCTCTTTTCTTTCGTTCTTCGCTAAGTAAACTTTTACACTAGTCGATATGAATATTTTATTTCTAGAATAATTTAAGATTCATACATACATTTTATAAATTTTTATTCATATAAGTATACAAAAAAAGAAAATTTTCTCAGTGTCTTCGATATCTTTGAAATTTTATCAAATTAAATTATAAAACAAATTTTTTCTTTTTCATTTAAAAATACGTTTAAAAAACGATTCGATGATCTGTAATTTGTATTTTTTAATTTTTTTCTCATATATTCCGATATTTCAATGGATTAAAGACCGAAGCCTAAATTTATCAAAAACAAGCACACTATAAAGTAATGAATGGATGATGATATATAATATATTTTTGAAAATTGACCAATTATTATTGACTAATTATTTTACATTCACTATGATTATTTTCTATTTGGTATAATCGATTTATTTTTGCAGGAATAAAGTCCATTAGACGACGGATCCTCGAATTATAATAATTAAATAATGCTTATACTCAAACGAAATATTATAATAATACTGGTATCAAACGAAACTTTTAGCTTAATAAGAACTTCTTAGGGTGAGTACGCGAGCACCCTTGCCAGCACGTCGATTCTCTGAGTTATTTCAGTTTGAAAACTTGGCGCAGACGTGCCCTTAACTTTCTGCTTCGAAATAACTAATTCAATTAGTATATCAGCGCTGCTACACCCTCCTCTTCTACGTTTAACTACATCTTTGCACGGTGTATCTAATCTTCGTGCTAACGCTAACTCTCGTATTGCTAATCTTCTGGTAAACCTTCGTTGGGAAATCGGCTGTTCACCATCTTGATTCTTTACAATATTTAGAAAATTGTAATATTTATCTTAATATTATTTAAATTATCCAATGAAATTATTTGAATATCTGATATATGAATGAAAATTTAACATTATTTGAACAAAAATTAATGATTTCTATTATAGGTTATGATATAGATTTTTAAATTAAGTAAAGAAAATTACAAAGTAAACAAATATTAATGATTTCTATTATAGGTTATGATATAGGTTTTTAAACTAAGTAGAGAAAATTACATTATATTTTGTATACCTTTTTTTTTTCTCAGGCATTCTTCGAGAAATAAAACAAGATTAAATGGATACAAATGAGTCAGATATTCTTCATTTTGATCGATATTGCACGTATTTTCAACTATGGAAAGGGGAAAGCTAACAACGGAACTGTCTTGCTCTCGGTCTCTCAGGGATTTTAACGAGATTCGGAACGGTGAATATTTTGTTCCACGTTACAACCTACGGTCCATTTCTAAACTCTATGTAATATTATAGCTAAAATCTCTCGTTAACTTCACAGATTTCAACTTTCCAAGAACTTTCAACATAAGTGTCTGGACACTCGACAAAGAAAGAAGTGTACTCTTTGTTGTATCAATGTCGATACAAGAATAGAAGGGAAGGAAGGAAAGAAAAGAGGAAAATAAAAAAAAAAAAAAAATAACAAAACTATTTCGATCGACTATGGATCAAAACGATTCTTTTCGCGAGCATATTTCAATCTTTAATCAGCTCTAATTATTGAGATATAGACAATCGAGTGTGAATCTCTCTTTCCATGATATTCAAGAGTTTTTTTGAGCATCTTCATCATTCACGATCTCTACTCGCTCCTCGTTAAGTGATATATAGTCTTCGAAGCCGGATACAATACGCGCGAGTCACTCAAAAATCTCATTCGCTGTAAAGTCGGTGACATTTTTCTTCGTTCCGGACCCGATAACGCGCAATAAATGTTCGCACCGGATGAATACAAACGTTGCACAATTTTGACGAAGTATTCGCTATTTGCTTACAACATCGATCCGTTGGCAGCGAGAAGAGTAAATCTTCTTTTGCCGCATTTTAAATATAGAACGAACCACAATGTCGATCACGATCTTGAATACATGGAATTAAAAAAATGCAAGTATTTTTTATTTTCGTTCGTAATTAATTAAAATTTTTCTCTCGATACCAGATGATATCTCTTTTGTATTCTCTACAAATTTTATCCCGATATATAATGATAACTGTTACAGGATAGGTCGAATTACGGTATCGAAATTCAGTGTATCGTGCGTGAAAAGATTCTTAAAATCTCCCAAGAATCCCAACGGAATTCTCAAAGCTCTGCCTACTCTGGTAGCATGATTGTAACGCTCATTAAGATTCAGGGTTGAGCTGAAAATAGCGTTGAGATCGCTCGTAGTGGCAAGGACGGAGTTCTCCAACGTCAACATTAAGTTCGTTTCGCAACGAACTACGTCGTACTCAAAGTAAAAAAAAAAAGGAAAGAAAGAAAGTAAGAAAAAGGATAAAAAGAAACGCTACCTCGTTTTCTCACGCGCTTCGGTAATTTAGTCGACGTTTAAAATGGCGTGTTTCACGCGAATATTTCTTGCCCGATTCCCACCGGTTTATCGATTCGTTTTCTGCATTAGGAGCAGCTCGACTCGATCCCGTGATACTTAAAAATTAATGCACAGAAAAGAAAAAGCTGCGACGAACCGTCGAAAAATATTTCTTTTTCGCTTATAGCTTTTTCGTAAATTTTATTAGCCAGAAGAAAGTATGATTTAATAGTCCATCGTCCAAAATATTCTCTCGATTTTTTTTTTTTATTTGTCACTTATGATTTTACTTAACGTTGTGTCACAATTGATCGTCTATTTTGTAAAAAGAAAGAGATCTTGCTCGCTTATCTTCGAAATTGACGCATCCAAAGTTAAGTTGTTTCCGAGCTACGCAAAAGCTTGAGAGAAACTTCGATATCTGGCTAATTATCACGGCACGGATCTTCACGCGTATCTTCTACTATGTATACGAACGTTTCGTTCATGGAGTTCGATTGATTGGAAAACCGTTTGCTTCGTTTCCAGACTTCTTCTTTTTTTTCTTCTTCTTTTTCTTACCAGAATCTCGAGTTTGAGAGGAAGTAGAGAGAAAGAAGAAAGTGAAAAGCTTCTGAAGGAAGAAAATCAAGGTAGTTTGCACAAGATTGAAGCTAACCAGACTTTTGTAAAGGAAACATGATACTGAGATTTTAATCATAAAGAGGTATAACAACAAGTGATCAGATTTTTAGTCTTCGTTAACTCGTTTCGTTACTTGAAAAAAAATTTTTTTTTTGGCTTTATTATTAATTTTAGAAATTTCTTTTTAAAAATTGGGATAAAGGAAGGACGGAAGGATTTGAACATAAATTTCTACAAACTATTCGAGATTTCGAAATTTTTTATACTGAATATTTTACAAAAAGCGAGAGACCAGAAGAAACGAAGGCAGAGAGTGAAAGAAGTGAAAGAAAGAATGATTAACTTTTTTTTGAAGAGAAATTCAATTTTGTAACAATGGAAGTAGAGTGTAAAATATTTTAGGGTTTTAGAAATTATTCGGAAAATTCCTTCTAAACAAAGATTCATTGAAGAAAAAAAAAAACAAATAATAGATATTCTTCTCAAGGAAGCGTAAACGTTTCGTCCACACTCATCGAGTGAGCACGGCACGCTGAAATGGGTATACGGTGGTGCGGCTCGATGCTGATCGCGGAGCTTGACCTGGAGAGGGGAGGAGCACGAGAAGGGAGTAGAATCAGTGTTTGGAGGGGGCTGGCGTTGTCGTTAGTGCCGTAAGACGGCACTCAAGAGCCTAGGACTACTTCAAATCGGCTAAAGACCGACGAGCAAACCAGAGTATTGAATTTTGTTTAACATTTTACTATTTTTATTTTCAATTTATACGAAAAAATATTTTTTAATTTAATATATATATAAAATAATATGAAAAAACAGAAAAAAATGAAGCATTCGCTTGTCAATTTCTTAATTACGATTTAGAATTTGGATGTTTTAACCTATAATGTAATAGATAAATTTTTTTTGCATTTATGGACGTTCATCGGAGCAGAACAAAAAAAAAAATAATATTGGAATTCAAACACAAAAGATTATCCAGCTTGAGAAAAGATTTACATTTTGAATCATCGAGGTGCAATTAAGAAGACAGTCTAGACTTCGTACGGCCTCACGCTTGGCGAATACTTTAAATGGACGTTTCTGGCAAAAACACTGGCATGCTCCGAGTGCTAGCCTCGTCGTCTGAAATTTAGTATCATTATGTGGTCTCTTCGAGGCGGAACAATCTCACGGAATTGTCACGAATGAAATGACAATCCGACGTCGCGTTAATTCTCCACGATAAATTATGAAACAGGTGCAACAGGATATCTTTCGCCTGCGTGTAAATACAGAATTCACTGTTTTCCTTGTTAACTATATTGTATGTATGTAAATGCGATTGTCGATTTTTTTTTTAATCGTAGAAATTTAACGTTGATTATTTTTTCTTTTTTTTTACAGTATCAGCTTCAAAGTGATTTAACAAGTGATCGTGAATTATGCTTGTCTTAGAAGTTAACCTCTAAAAATATCGTTAAATTTGTCCATCATCATTCCAAGAAAAAAAATTAATCGTAATATTTCAAACGTATAACACGATTACGTTCGTGTTATCGAGATTAAATTCTTCCTGTTCATCGGATCAGTCAATTTCTGATAAAGAGATATTTATGCAAGTAACATTTCGT